AATCTTCATCAGTCACACTAGACGGAACTGTTTAACTTCTCATGATATTGTTAGTGTGACAGACCAGAATGAAACACATCAAATTATAAATTAATTTTCTTAATTTACTTAATTAATGAGGAATTAGAATAAGAATTGGCACTGTTCCTCTAAGAACAACTTTGGATGTACAAAACAAGAATCCCAAGTTTAAACAGAAGAACAAGTGGCAAGGAATTGAGGAAATGTCTTTAGTAATTAGTCAGTCTTCTCTAAACATTTAGCACCCTCAATCTAGAATTGGGTGATTTCACTGGTTAATTGATCCTCGGTACTTTTCAAACGTAATGCGATGAAACTGAAAGATGGTCATACTTGAAATTTGAAGTTGTCACGACGGTGACTATGAAGAGTAGTCATGTGTAATCTGATGGGTTTTGCTGCCGTTTCGAAGGACCGGACGCCTCGCTTGACAGGGTAGAAGAGTAAGCCGAGAGAGCATCAACATTTCTCCGAAACGTCGGAAAAATTCCAGCAGACTACACAACGTTACATCCAAGAGGGCAGTACTCTCGTATGTTCAGACAATTTGAAAGGAAGCTGTTATAACATATTTCAAATTATTATTTTGCATTCGCCTGGAGAGAGTGACGAAAACCACGAAAACCTTCAGTGAGAATCGAGTCGTTTCGGTTATGTTCCAAAAACTAAGAGTTACCGTTACACCTTCGTCCTCGGTGATTCCAGTAGTGGTATTGACTTTAAATTTGTCGACAATCCTATTTAGATTATACGATCTTTGTATCCCGGGCATCGATGCATATCTCTCATTGCCACCAAATGATGTGAAAATTGAGATCCACGTTCCAGTTGCTTTATACCCTGGATCCGCAGGATAGCAAGTTGGGCATGATACCCCAGCCGAAAATCGAACTGCGCTCGTTGAGTCCACAGCCAGAGACTTAATCGCTTCCAGGCAAAGCACGATAAAACCATGAGTCACCAACTCATGAATTCACAAAGCACATTGGAAAAGATCCTCAGACTAAGTATACACTGTGCTAGTTCGTTATGTGTGCGTGGTCTTGCAGAAGTGTAGAAGGTGACTGGAGAGAGCGGTTCTTTTCTCGGCAGGAGAGTTACGATTTCTCTCTACGTTTAATTTCCGAATGTTGTGTGAAGCTCCCACTTTGACCTATCTATGAACAACTCTCACTTCCAGCCTGCCGCGCCCTCCATCCGTCACTGTCAGTATGCAGAGGCACGTGGTCTTGTGCGAGTTGCACGTGGTTATACGCCAATAACATGTGATTCTTGCATGCCGGGATAGCCGACCCCCGATCGTATTCACAACACTGTTGCCAATTTAGAAAATCTGTATTACAAGCCTCATGCAATTTAATGGAATATATATTTTATAGTTTTTTTTTACCGTTAATCAAATATTTATGAGCAAATTACTCTTTAACAACGCTTAGTGCTCTAAAGGAACATAAAAACAGGATCTGAACGTATTAAAATATCCAACATGTTGGTATTTACTTTTACAGCTCATCAGGTATTCTCCAGCAAATTACCATAAGGAAATATTGCAGGTAAAATGGCACATGGCGTTTATGTGCTTTATTTGATGACACTGTCAGTACCTCAGACTATGTCAGCATTGACTGGCATGATGATTGATGAGTAAAGAATGGAAAAGATTTGGAAGGAAGTAGTTTTTGCCTAATCAAGGTATTGCCCCGACACTTGCCTCAAGGGACTGAAAGAGACTATGAAAGATCTCAGCTGAGATTTGAACCGAACACCTCCTGCATACAAATTTAGAGAGTAATCACTATAACAGTCTAATCGGTGGGGACATGTCCAAGGATAGTGATTTTTCTGAATAAAAAATTGAAATGTGATAAAAAAATATAAATATTTTTCTAAAATAAACAATGAGGCATTTAAAAGCTGCCCATGGAACAAAGAAGAAAACTTTTTTCAGTGCTGCAAGAAACGTATGACAGTTGCTAAGTGCATATGGCAGGTGCAGTTGTATGAAGCCAGGAATTGGGCAACTGTTCATAAAATCTGATGTGTTGTAATCATGAATCATCCATTTAGGTTATTTCTTTTCCATGTGCTGTGTAAGAGTGATCAGCACTGAAGACCAATAACACGCCATAGTGGTAGTGTTTCGTGTCATGGGTAGCATGTGGAGCATCACATGACAATCAGAAAACAATGTTTAGGAGTTGATGAAATGAGGGTCCTTTGTCTGGTCTACATGGACTTTGTTTAGCCCAGTTGGCCCCTGTTGCTTACTCTTCAGACAATACAGATGAACCCAAGTTTCTTTTTCCCCTTCCTTCTTTTTAGCTCTTTGCTCTATTCTTGCAGGCTCTCCTCTCCAGGCAGACTTTAATGTGCAAGTACACTGACATGTCATGGGCTGCTCTAACCCACAGTTCTGAATACTATTATGAAGCTCATTTTCATTATATTTTTGCTAATATTTCCACACTTATTGACATTGTCAAGATATTTTAGTGTGACAGAAAGACTGCAAAATATTTCTTCCATAAATCACACCATGCTCCCAGGGAGTTAACTTTAACTTCTGCTCTTGGAGGCATCTCTCTTTCAAGCTCAGAGATTTTCATGGCAGTGAAGATTTGATCTTCTGGACTATAACTCTGGGTAGTCTGGTATCAGAGAAACCTGCTGTTGCCATCTACAGAGCACTGGTAATGACTTGCCTGACTGCATGGTGTCATAACCCTGAAGACCACACTGCAGATGTCGCTTTTGAATTCAATCTTGTTACAAAGTTGACATTTACATGTATAATGGCATGCATGTAATTAATTTCTGAGGATAAATTGTTGTAATTGCCTTCATTCATTTGACTCAGATCCTGTATTTTTCTTATAAGAGTTCAATGCAACTAATTATAACTATTTCACATTATTATTATTATTAGTATTATGAAACTCTCATGAATTTTTATGATGATTCTTGACCAGTTCAGGTAATTTTGTTGCTGTTGTTTTATATCCAGATTCTAACAGGTTTTAGGAATATGTTTAATAATAATGGAATATGAACTAATACAAACTTAGGAAAGTAGAATATGCAGCCTACCTTAAGGTACTCTCCACGTTTTATGTCAAAACTTACTGGGCGCAGACAGCCAAAACAGAATACAAGCTATTAATATGATTGTCTTGTGATACAGTATTAACCATACCATGGATTATAACAGTACCCTATACAATATAAAATTACTCCCCAAGTATTTTCCTTGGAAGTACTGATGAAAAATGAGAAAGACAACCTAAATCAGGAAGCATTCCTGAATGGCCATTCCTATAAAACAACTTTTTCTTCACCCATCCTGTATCAAGTAGCACTAGCTCAACAGTAATATGTACTCGTATAACACCCTAAATATTTGTGCCATGTCTTATGAACTGAGGCAGTAATTATCAAAGTGATTATGAGTTGCGGTATTTAGGGAAATGAAGAAAATCTAAATTTACTTCTTGCAACAACTGAAGGAAATCATAGAATACATTTCATATAGAATAATTTGTTTGAAATGAAATTAAAAACATTTTTACAATACAGTAAGGACCCTGTGTATAAAAATCCCTTCTTTATAACAAAGTTAAAAGATGTTGTCATGTAATTTTGATTATAAAGTGGCTTCACTGTGATATCATCATCAAGACACATGTTAAGCCAGACAATAAGTTATGATCAATATAAGTTTGAACTTTTGTATAATTTGAAATGAAAGTCTTTCCTTACCCCAGTTCTCCTACTATTAGATTAGATTAGATTAGTTTAGATTGAAGGGGTGGGCATTAAATGGCCATTGCAGGGTGATTATGCACAATCTATTTTGCACCCCATAACGTTTAAAATCACCATCTACTCTTTCCAGCAGCCTCCGTAGTCTAGAGGTAATGTTCCCGCCTCATGACTCGTAGTACGTGGGTTGAAATACCTGGTGGAGGTCATCGAATTTTTAAGGGCGGAAAAATTCAGGGAACAAGTCCTCCAGGAGGGACTTTAAGCCGTGGGTCCCGTGTCGTAGCTTTATGGCACGTAAAACAACCTCATATCTCCAAAGGAGGTCACTGAGCCAAATTAACAGATGTTTCCCACCCAACAGCAGTCTCTAATACCTCTGGTAGATGGGGGAAGCATCATAGATACCTCTCAGCTAGTAGAGCCGGTCTCGCTGGCTGGGCGGGACTGATGATAAGCACCAATACAAGTAGGATATAGAGACTGGTAGAAATCATAGAGGGAAGCACAATGGACCAATACAGGTGTCAGTGCATGGAGAAACCCACCCTCTCCAATAACTAACTAACTAACTACTCTTTCCAGGCTTTGAATGAAGCACTTTGTTTACTGGGGCATTCTGATAGTCAACTGACTTCATTTGATGAAGTCCCTTGTGATAAGATCTTGTTTCGGCTGAAACATGACAGTCATAAAGGACTATACCCACAGATGTCTCACACACAACTGACATATTCTGAGGAAATTTCATATTTATATGATTGCAGTAGTAGTAGTAATAGTGGTGGGTAGCAGCGGGTAGCAGCAGCAGTAGCAGCAGCAGTAGTATTAGTAGTAGTAGTAGTAGTAGTAGTAATGTACCTCCTTGAGGCTCCAGATAAGTTCTTCCACCACCAGGCTCCACATCAGAGGTGACAGAACACCTCCCTGCAGACTGTTTTGCAGTATAGTCTTATGATTTATCTTTATGTCATCTTTATATGACTCCCAGCTGGTTCTATTGGAATCCATGAAAGTAACTTTCATTAGTTCTGTTACCCATTTGAAAGCATATGTATCTATGATTTTACAAAGAAAAATATCAGATATGCCAAAGTGCTCATGCTATGCTCAATATCTGCTGTGTGCACATGCACATGGCATTTACATCTTATGTGCATGTATGGGAAAATGATGATCCACACAGCAATGAAATTTTGATGATGACAATAACATTTCAGATGGAGTGAGATGTATTCCAGCATCATTCAATCCAGCTGCCTGTTTCACCTTTAAGCTGCCAGCAGAACTGCAAGCAGATGACGTTACAACAGTGGAATTTTGGTTGTATAAAGAAAGAGATCAGAGAGACAGCCATAACCAGACTTTTGTTGTATCTGAAGTTGCTCATTGGGATTTGAACCAGAGCATTCAGAAAAGCAAATACTTGGTCATCCATGAAACAAATGTTAAAGGTATATATGGTATTGTAACGTGTGTAGCTACTGACTGGAGATGTCGTACTATTGTTAATTGGTTTTATTAACAACCTACAAGTTGTAACTACAATTAATTACAACCCTCTTGCGGGTTTACACAATTTACAAACCCTACACACTAATCTCTTCACTCTATCTTCAGTAGTCTTCACTTACTTACAGTATAACACGGGAGCTATACAAGTGTCACTGAATTACACATTCCCAATACCTTTTCAGTTATCACAAACTGTCACTGATTATCATGCATAAAATCTTCTAATCACATGTTCAGTTCTTCCTCCCGTGGCTGCTCAACTGACTGACTGACTTCTGTTCTGCCGAATACTGGCAAATAGTCACACTCGCTCCTTAGTTATTTGAGTTTCTCTTATAAACCCTGAATCAGACAGGCAGAAAACGGAGCTTGCTTCAGTATTGCATGACATCATGTTTACAGAGGCATTGCTTGGGAACGCTGCCAAGAGTGTTTACTGCTGCGTAGCAACCAGCACAGTTCGGCTCGGCTTGGCTCAGCACAGCACAGTACAGAGAAACACCGCTTTCCTCATTGTTGCAAAACCTCATTCCATTATTGCATTACTTGGCAACCAACCGTTTATTAAGAGTCTGTCTTTGTGGTAACTAGTTCCACATCCCATTGCCAAATATCGGTTTGACATGTCACAGTATAAAGTCAGTAATTACTTGGTACGGATTTGGTCTTCTGGGTTGTGATACCACTTAGTTTTGTGGAACCACCCTCCAGACCGTACAGCATCACACGCCAGAAGACCAAAAGCTAAATCTTCACCACCTTTAAAAAACTCAATTTCAACTCTATGAGCTTTTTGACTAATGTATTTCAACAGCTATAGAACATTTCTTACTGTATCAATTTAAAATATTTTGTGCTATAGTGCATTTTGCTTATTGCTTATTTTAGGGCAATGAATAAAAATCACATTTATTGTATAACATTTTATTATTATAATCGTTTTAATATTAATGTCTTTAGAAGTTCAGTGTGCCCTATGGGAGGTTTACAAAGGCAGGAACTACTGTCTCTCATAAACAGCTGATATGAAACTGTCATGTGTGTTATGAAATGATATGAAGCACTACAAATGGAAAATTTGTGCACAGAAGAGAACTCCAGGTGTGCTGAAAATGGAGATTTAATGAATTTTATGCTTTGAACGGGAACTTATTTATTTGCATAATTCCTATGTTCTCACTGATTCTATTTTCATTCTCAAAAATTAAATGATAATAGTGCCATTGTCATATGCATTCTCTTTGTAGAAGAAACACAAGAGAAATATCAATTTGAAATAGACCTGTCAGCTCTACATATTGGATACAGTTAATGTTGCTTCCTACTCATCTGAATTTATGCACTTATTCAGATATTTCTACAGACTGTGCTAAGTGTTTATGCTTATGTAGTATTGGAAGCACAGCTGTCAGCTATTTTCTGCCATAATATGGTTATATAAATTCTACAGAGTTTCATACAAAAAAAAGATAAAGCTACCCCTGTATCAGACCAAGCAGGCCTATAAGGTTGAGAGACGTCAAGGCTCCCACGTTTTCTAAGACAAATGGCTCACAGATGGTGATGATGTTGTCAGCCTTATGCGCTGGCCGCCCTTTACCTCCAGGAATATTCCTGGTACTCATTTCTGTTAGAGGTTGAGTCGACCCCAGGGCTATAGTGCGGCTGGAAGGATTAAGTCAATTGAGAAATCCACTGACCTCATCAGGAATTGAACCCGCAACCTTCCGGCTTGTAGCACAGTGCCCTTATAGAGTTTCATAACAATTTAATTTTCGTAACCATTAAACTGTAATGTACGAGTACTAACTGTGTATTCAAGCAAAATTTAACAGACATATTCTTGACATCTCACCCACATGAGGGACATGTGGCACAATAATCAGTCATTTGGTTCCAAACTAGAGATCTTAATTGTACAGTATTGACAAAGGTGAAGGTCAAACCTGTAAATAGAAAAATCCACACAAAGAACTGACCAGGGATCAGACTTGGAACTGTCTGAATAAGAGATCAGTGTCTTAGCCCAAAACCACCAGGTTTCTTTGGATTATCTCTTCTGCTGCTTGCCTCCAATTTTACACAATTTAGGTCTGAGAAGGCATATCAATTACTGCTCAGTTGTAAAAGTTATTATGGTGGGTTTTAGAATACCTCACTGAGCTAAGGGCACACTTCATGCACATCTATTTACACTGTTTACATTTTATTTTAATTTTTCAGTCAGTTAAAAGCTAAACAGACTATATTAATTTTATTTTCTGTTTAACAGCCGGCTGGGTGAAAATTGATTTATATTGGACAGTAAAAAACTGGTTGGAATACCAAGAACTGACACATGCAATCCATATAGCATGTAAAACATGTGCAATGGAGATTACAAAGTCGCCTGTATCTTTAGAGTCTGAACATAAACCTTTCATCATCATCAGCACAAAAACTATGGAACAGGTAAAACAGAATTTAAAAGTTTTGTGATCTGTGTACATTTTTCATCCAGGTGCTGCTTAATGCAGTATCCTCAACTTTAGATTAGGCACCTACAATGATAAGAAATTATACAGTGATATTACACACACAATTATTCAACTGTTTTATCAGAATATCTGAATGTATGTAATTTTGAAATCTAAACAGTGATAAGCTACATAGATGTACCACTATGCTTAGGTTGGGGAAAGAATTAACACAGTTAACCAGCTCCCCCCCTTCCAAGCTTCCTACACTACACACGTCCTCTCTGACAACAGACCAAATTCACCTCTCTGCCTTTAGAGAAGTAAAGTGCTTACTTCATTATTATTCATTGTTTTGATCATCACTGTCACTGATTTTAATAAAATACAATAAATAATACAGGTGAAACCAAATGACATGATTTGTCATTGGAAGCTTTTAACAAACCAGGTTAGAATACAAATGGCAATTGATGAGAGTGGGGGAAGACATGTAGAGGGAAGGAAGCTACTAGGCAGATATGTGGGAGGGAATCTGTATTCATCTACTGGTTATAGTGTCAATAACGAATACAAACAAGCACAATATATAGCTAACAATAATATTAGAGGATCAAATAAATGGCAAATACTGCATACTCTTTCTTATACAGAATCATCGACGAAAGCGCAATATAAACTGTCACCCAGGTCTGTCTGAATGCTGTAGGGAGAACCTGTATATATCTTTTGCTGATATTGGATGGGATGAATGGATTTTGCAGCCATCTGGTTATCATGCCTACTTCTGCCATGGTTCATGTAATACTGCTGCTTCAATCACACAAAGTGGAGCCCACCACAGCTCATTAATTCAAGTCAGTAGAATTGTGCATAATATCTATGTATATAAATAATCCATATTATTTGTTTAAAAATTAGATAATAAGATAGTATACTGTTATATTTTAGCGTCCTGTTGCACTGATTCATGTCCATGATTTATTCCAACCATCTTACAGTGCATACACTTATTCACCTTACTCTTCTCTCTTGCACTACATGTTTCAGCACAAAAGTGCCATCTTCAGGTGCTTTTCGATGTATGTCAAACTACTTCATTGCATGCCCTGTTGTCTTTATACTAAAATATATATTCGTCATATATATTGATAAATTTTAAATATTAAAAATATTAAAACTGTTCAGGATTTGTCATCCTTATGTCGTATCTCAATACGCGAGTCACACCTATCTTCTTCTATCGGAGTATTCTTCCTACTTTCGTGTGTGTATTGTGCTTTGTGTTGTGTCTTGCTCCTGTGACTGCATGTGTTATACTGCTGGGCCTGCTGGGTATGTGTGTGTGTGTGCTGTTTTCGTTTTGAATCAAAACCAGGCATTAATTTGCCCTCTTATCCCATAATGCTCTAATTTTTCTAGCAAAATATCATGGTTAATAACATCATAAGCCTTTGTTAAATCAAAGAAAATACCAGCTGGTAGTAATTTATTATCCAAAGCTTCTTGTATCTTCCTGAAAAATGACTGACATGCTGATATTGTTGATTTATCTTTTTGGAATCCAAATTGTTTTTCAGTTAATATTTTAAATTTAGCTGTAAAGAACACCAGCCTATTGTATACTATTTTTTTCCAAGAACTTTGAGAATACTGATAGCACTGATATAGGTCTATAGTTACTCGCTTCATGTTTCTTTCCTCTTTTGTAAACTGGCTTGATCTTTGCAATTTTCAATAAATCAGGGAAAACCCCTTGATTTATTGATTCATTAAATTTAAAACTGAGTGGTTTTATTATACTTGTGATGCATATTTTTCTAAGAAAAACTGAGATTCCATCAGCTCCCGCTGGGGCTTTGCCCTTTAATTTATATGCTTCTATGACAATTTCTTCTTCCAAGATTGGCCAAAAATACACTGAATTTGGGTTTCCTGTTACAACTTTTTTTAATGATATTTCTTTGGTCTTACTCTTGTTTTTATCCACGAGTTCTTCAACTTTGTCTATAAAATATGAGTTCAGTGTGTCAGCCACCTCCTGGGGGTGGGATATTTTCCTATTTTATCCTTGTAACTGAATCTCCTGGTCATCCTTTCCTACTTTGCCAATTCTTTTATTTATTATCTGTCATATTATTTTATTGGGTTAGATGCCCTTTCTATTCATTTACCATTTTGTCTCTTTTTTGCTTCTAAAATAACCCTTTTATATATCCTTTGATAACTACTGATATAGCTTACTATTTCAAATGGCAAAGCTATCCTCCATTTTAAATAATTTAAAAACCTCATTTTCCAGCAAGATATTTTTATTCCTTTTGATATCCATTTCTTATTCTTAGTATTTCTCTTTATTACTGGTTTCACGGGAAATACTTGATTAAAATAGTCTAAGAATTTTTTTATAAATTGCTTCTATGTCTCATTTACACACCTTTCCACATATATTTCCCCCCATGATTCACTAGTCAACAAAGTTATAAATTTAGCAATATTGTCCTTAGTATACTTTCTTTTTAAAGTTTCTTTTTTCTCTCATTATTACCTTTGTCTATTAATACCCATAAAATCTGGGCCAAATGATCTGAATATCCCATATTTATAATCTCAATGTAATTCTTGTTAAACTGTCTATCTAACACCAATNTTCACGGGAAATACTTGATTAAAATAGTCTAAGAATTTTTTTATAAATTGCTTCTATGTCTCATTTACACACCTTTCCACATATATTTCCCCCCATGATTCACTAGTCAACAAAGTTATAAATTTAGCAATATTGTCCTTAGTATACTTTCTTTTTAAAGTTTCTTTTTTCTCTCATTATTACCTTTGTCTATTAATACCCATAAAATCTGGGCCAAATGATCTGAATATCCCATATTTATAATCTCAATGTAATTCTTGTTAAACTGTCTATCTAACACCAATATATCTAACAGTGATTCCAAGCTACTAGTAACTCTTGTTGGACTGGAGACTATATTTATTAAATCATAAGATATTAACAAATTTTTCAATGACTGGACCTGCTCATTTTCCTGGAGCAGGTTTATATTCCAGTCTCCACAGATTATTATTATTATTATTATTTTTTTTTTGTGTATTCTCTCAATGAGAGATTTGAGTTTCTTCAAAAATATTTTCACATCACTTTGAGGTAATCTGTAAATACATATCAATACCCATTTAAATTTTTCAATTTCCACACCTGATATCTCAAAGTTTTTTCACTACTCAGTTCATTTAAAAACGTGACTTCCCTTGCTTTCAATTCTTTGTTTATAAATATACATGATCCACCACTCTTACTTTGCTTTCTACAGAATTTATTAACCAGTATAAACTTATCTGTTTCTACCAAGGTTAGTGAGAATTCATCCAACAAATGTTCTGTAAAGCACAGTATATTTACATCCTGCAAGCTAGAATTTAAAAGTACTGTCAATTCCATGCACTTATTCCATAGACTCTGAACATTATGGTGTAAGATTGTAAACATATTATCTTTTATATTCCCTCTCGCTTCCCATTTACTTAAACTGTTACTTATATTCTCCCTTGTTATTTCCATAAAAAAGGCAGTAGTATTTTATGCATAAGTGCAATGATGTCAGATCAGATCTGTAAGAATGTTGAAATTTTAGATTAAGGTAATGAAAGAATGATGAGGGTAAATTTATACATGGATATTAACAATAATACTATATTATCATCTTCTAGCTTTAAGTATTTTCTAGAGATTTGAACATAATCGTATACTTTATTTGCCACATATAGGACTGTGTTACTTGAATAAGACACTGTAAACAAAACTGGCAAAGAAATGTTACAAACTATATATACACAAAATTCTTTTCCTACTAAAGAATTCCTAAAAAGTGTTGCCTCTAACATCTAACAATCTAATACAGAGCATTCACACCCAGAATATGTTTGTCAGTATAATTCATAGTTTTAACCTACAAATTTCTTTTTGTAGAGGCTGCTATATCTGCATAGTTCAAGTGCCAGACACTTAGACCTGGTACCATGCTGTGCACCTACAAAGCTCTCATCACTTCAAATGTTGTATGTGGACAACAATCAAACCATTACCCATGTGACATTACCAAACATGGTGGTGGAAGCATGTGGTTGCATGTAGGTGGCAATTAATGCTTTCATTAAACTGGCCATTTCCAGAACAGTATTTTGCTTGTACCTGCTAAAATAGCAATGTGTATGCTTTAATTTCCTATGCTTCAAATTAAAGCATTCTACTTCTGGTAAAAATAATTCCAGTCTGTTGTTCTACCAACAGATGTTGGTTGTTTCTTGTTTTATTAATGACACTGTATCAGCTGAATAGGCTATATAGTACATATAGTATATACCAATAAGTACATTTTGTTAATTACATAAATTCCCTCAAACAAATTTGTTTGTGTCAGTATGACTGATTTAATAATTGACTCATTTGTTAAAAGGTCATCATATTACCAAATGGACTAAATAAACCTGTCACTGGAAAGTGTCTTAGTTGCTGCCCATAACCAAAAATAAATTTGTTATTGTTTGTTATTTTTTAAATACTTATTAAATTAATAAAATATTGGAAAAAGTAAATAGTACTCAACAGTGCAAGAAATGTTACAAAAGTAGGTCATCTGCAATGCAAGCAAGGCCTTCATGAAGCATATTTTATTCTGTAATAGATAAATATTTATATACCCACTATATATTTTTTTTAATTTTACTGTCTTAAGGCTTTGAATTTGTTAACTTACAAGTATTTGCTATTATTAAAAAATTGGAAACCATATTTAGTCTTATTTGCCTTAGATAATGAAATACATAGTACCAGCATGCAATGAACCATTTTAATTAAGACAGTACAAATACTTTTAATTAATATGAACTTTAGAAATTTTCAAATATTTTTATTTATATAGAAGACATTGGTATTATTATTGCTGAGATAAATTTGTTCTGCATACAATTTGTGACATAAAAGTACAAAAACAAGTGTACTTTAATCTGTTTCATTCTGGTCCGTCACACTAACAAATTACAAAGACGAAACAACTCCGTCCAGTGTGACTAATGGAGTTTTTACTCCCTGAAAACTCAACGCCCTCACATGTATTGTATTGTATTTTATTTTCATCCGTTTTGCCACATAGTAACATTTGGACACGTCATTCAGTAATATAAGTTAACAAAATAAATCTACATAGTTACAAGCATACTACGAACTATATTGATTGATTAATTGATTGATTTATCCAGGAGTACAACTTAACAAACCAACCTACAAAGTTACAAGGATACTGACAACATTTTACAATCCTAAGCAATATGTAGATACTACATTTGAAAAAGAAAAAAGAAAAAACAAATACACAAATCATTGTATACAACTTATGATTTGCTATGACATCCAAATATGAGTACTTTCACCATCCATCTTTTTATTTAAAACTAACGAATTCATTTATCGTGTAAAAGGAATGTTTCAATAAAAAGGGTTTTAAGTCTCTTTTAAAAACTGAAAATCCCACGGAGTTTTTTATTTTGTCAGGCAACTTACTATGCAATTCTATCCCCATATTTACCACACTCTTTTTAAATAATGTAGTTCTACAGAACTGAACATGAAAATCCTTGTTTATTCTTGTATTATAACTATGAATATTTATATTCTGGATCAAATCTGCTTTGTGCTTTTTTATGTAACACAACACCTCTAAGATATACAACGAAGTAACCGTAAGGATGCCATAATCTTTAAAAATTTGCCTGCATGAGTCTCGTTTACCAAGTCCACTAATTATTCGCAGCACCCTCTTCTGCATTCTAAATACCTTTATACTATCACCTTCACACCCCCAAAATATTATGCCATATCTCAATAATGATTGAAACTTTGCAAAATAAATGCTTCTTAACATATTTGGACTCAAAACTCCTCTTAGTGATTTAATTATGTAGGATGTTTTACTAAGTTTTGAACATAATGACTGGATGTGGGTACTCCATTTAAGGTTTTCTGTAATATCTATACCTAAAAATCTCAGTTCTGATGAATAAGCAATTTCCAAGTTGTTATAAAATACCCGTGGTCTAACTACAAACCTACTTTTACTAAGATGGAATGACACAGCAACTGTTTTTTTAATATTTATTAAGAGGTTATTTACCTGAAACCATGTTTCAAGCTGTTTCATGATCTTATTTATTTTCTGTTGCGCTATGCCTTCCTCTTTATCAATAACAAGTACATTAATATCGTCTGCAAACAATACCGTTTCTCCACTTTGTACATTTAGCGGGAGATCATTTATATACAGAAGAAACAGTAGTGGTCCCAGAATTGACCCCTGTGGTACCCCATGTATTGTTTCCCTTAAAGGTGATATATATTTATTTTGGGTATTTTTATTCAGGTAATTTGTTTCAACAAATTGTACTCGGTGGGATAAGTAAGATTTAAACCATATGTTCCCTCTGATGATGGTCTATGAGGACCGAAACATGTAAGGGCGTTGAGTTTTCAAGTAGTAAAAACTCCATTAGTCACACTGGATGGAGTTGTTTTGTCTTTGTAAAATGTACTTTACTGTTGTTAAATTTGGAAATGTTTCACTTATCTATACCACTACCACTATTATCACCATTACCACCACCAAAACTAGCAGTAGTGGTAGTGGTAGTAGTAGCAGCAGCAACAGTAGTAGTAGTAGTAGTAGTAGTAGTTGTTGTTGTTGTTGTTGTTGTAGTAGTAGTAGTAGTAGTAGTAGTAAGTGAAATTACATTAAGAACTAATTTCATGTGCTTATTTATGAATTTGTGTTTTTACTAATTTATTTCATACTTTTGAGGCACTTCATCCACTTTTCCTAGTTGAAGGCCAGAGATGGTGTTACTTGTTAATTGAAGGCCAGAGATTGTGTTATTTATTAATATTACAATGCTTCTGTAATTTTATTTTATTCAAAAAGATTATTCCAACATATGGAATATTTCCTTTCATACACAAACAGCTAAATAAGCTATATTTGTCTACAATTCATAGTTTTTACTTTTTAACATCATATTATTTGGGTTCATTATTTTACTGAGTTTAAGATGATAAAATTATATATGATAACAACAAATAGTATCTAATTAAGTAACATTAAGTGTATAAATTTCAAAGAATATGGTTTTAAGTGCATATATATGCCTTGCTAATCTGAGTTCTTCCATGCACCATTACCATGACTTAGAAGTCAAGTCACTTTGTGGGATTTGTACTTTGATTATTTTGGAAGTCATGTTAATAATTATCATCTTCATTAAAGCATGTAAATTCTTATGTACATACTGCTAGTGATGAAAGTAAGTCATAATGTAAGGTTTTTGGAACATACCAGTAAATAGAGATGGTGAAATTTATGCATGAATTGTTCCTGTGCCCTGCCCCCACATTTCTCGTGAATAAAATATATTTCGTTTACTTCTCCTTTGGTTTACTACATTTACTTTAATTTGCATAAGCTTCAGAGCCTGAATACTTAAGATATGAAAACTTTACTGGCTAAAAGGACCAGAAATATATTGTATAACTGTACAGAATTTAAGAGGAAAAGTTGATATTAGAATTACATGGCAACTTGCCTATGTTTTGAAATGAGTACCAGGAATATTCTTGGAATATTTTTGGGTGTATAGGGTGGCCGGCACGTAGGGCTGACAATCTTGCTGCCATCTATGAGCCGATTGTCTAGAAAATGTAGGAACCTCAACATCTCACAACCCTATGGGCCTCCACGGCCTGTTATAGGAACACCTTTACTTTTTACTTTTTTTACTTGCCTGTTTTAAGATCATAAGACAGTATTGATGAAAAACAGACTTCTTTCATCATTGACTACTATTATAGTTCAGTCTGACCAACAAATGAAACCATTTCATCTGCATGCTGAAATGGCCCAAAGTTTTTTCAATCTCATATAGCTTTAGCAGTAATTTATTTACAGTATGTATTTATTTGTGTATTTATTTATTTATGTTGGAACACATGCACACAAATTGTAAGGGACACTTACAGTAAGATAAATGAAAAATAATTGTATAATTGGGGTTGGTATTAGGAAAGAATGTGTTCTGTATTTTTCATATACAAGAGTATGATCATACAGATTATGAACAGAATAATCATGTACTTTCTTGTTGTTAAACATTGTCTTTTGGTTTTATTTTCATTAAAGCAATACAATTATGGAATTACTTTGTGTTATACATTCTGACCACTTAGTAAACATAATTATGCACATATGTTCTTTATAAAATTCTTGTATGTATGTTTAATTGTACTTCCATAAGGTTTACAGAACTAAAAATTTAACAGCATATCAAAACGGTTCAAACCTGACAGTTGACGGTTGAATAAAGTGAGATATTGTAACATACAGGTTATTCAATCAAATTTGAACTCCAGTATACAAAACATTTAGAACTGCAAGGAATCTGATTATTTATTGTCATAATATATTCCAAACACTCAAGCTGAAGTACAATCACATCTATTCATGAATTTATGAACAGCAGCCACACATGTTTTCTAAACAGATTATAGGTATTCTGTTGTGATCTGTGATTGTTTTAATAATAACATGTTTAAACAAATTTCTACCTTAGACAGTAGGCCTGCCTCAGATGCAATAACACAAGTGATTTGAAAATTCATGCATTCTTCTGTGTTGCTCCAGGAAGCATCTAACCAGTCACACAACTGATGCTTGCATACTCAAACATGTAACATGCATGAGGGAGGTGAGAAACAAATTAAAATTTCATTTGGAATACCTGAAGTCAAGAGACCAATTCAGGAGAGTAGACACAGATGGGAAGATAAATTCTTTACAAGGAAATTGGAATTTGAGGACATGTTCTGGATTCATCTAACTTCAGACAGAATTCAATGGCTGGCTCTTGTGAACAGGCAATTAAAATTCTTGTTGCATAAAAGGCAAGGAATTTCTTGAAAGCTGAAAGATATCTCAAGACCTTGCTCCATGGAGCATATGCAAGTGCATGCACACTCACAAATTTCATTCAGTGATTACTGTTTACATAATAAATAATTTTATTCTGTGTTTGGTTGTGTTAATATTTACTGATATACACTACAATGTATGTGGTCTCATATGTTGTCAGTGTGGCTGTGCATTAAAAAGAAAGGTATGAAAGCTGAACTAGAAGAGAAACCTTGTAGTTTTCAGAACTACTACTCTTGTCCTGTAAACAAGCCTCACACCTTGTTAAAATATTCAACAGGAGAGAATGAAAGCCATTCCCAATGCACTCAGGTTCACAGCTTTATGTCCTTCAGTCAGCCCTTCTCATGCTTCATTTCTTCCATAGAGTCATGTATGTTAACTTAGAAATTTGTTTTGCACTATACAAAAATAAAACTATCAAAATAAACATCCTTGGCAGACTCATGAATCTCACATGCCTATCTGCAGTGTCATACTATTCTCCCTCATCTTGTTTGGTAGTTGCAAGAATACATGACAAGACAAACATCTGTCCCTTTTTAAAACTAGCCTAAGTATTCTATAACATCATTCTCCTTCACAGCAGCATAAAATTCTTTAGGCTGCTGTTGGAACCAGGCATGTTCACACGGCATGGCCTACCTCATAATGCATGACAGGTCGCATGCTTCCATTGAATGGCCTTACAAAGTTTCCTGAGGATGTTACAGTAGGAGGCGGCATTTACGGTTTGTCCTTGAGGCTGGAATGCGGTGAGCAGTATGCCTTTGTGATCCCAGAAGACTGTGAGCATCACTTTCCTGGAGGATGGTGTCACCTTAAACTTTCTGTTGACAGGCAATGCAGAATGTTTCCACTGCATTGACGCACGCTTTGTCTCAGGCTGGTAATGGTGAACCCAAGACTCATCACCTGTGACCATTAAGGCTAGCATATTGTGTCCTTCATCATGGTAGAGACTGAGTTGCTGTAATGCCAGACCCATTCTTTGCATTTTGTGTTGTGGGGTCAGCATGCACTCCACCCATCATGCACAGACTTTGTGAAATCTAACCTGTCATGAATTATGAGGTAGGCCATGCCATGTGAACACGCCTGGTTCTGACAGCAGCCCAAAGAATTTTATGCTGCTGGTTTTCAGGGGCTTGTGAAACAATGGGACAAGTGCCTCAATGTACAGGGAGATTATGTTGTGAAATAAAATAATTTTTCAAATCAGTACTCTTATTTGTTTAAGTTCTATATCCATTTGTAACTAACTTATTGACTTACCCTCGTATGTTCGGGTTTAGCACTGTAAGTATTATTAATTTCACCATTTAGATTGACCACTGGTGCTTATTCTTCCCCATTCTATGTTACTCTCATTTTACAACACAACACTGAAAGTAATTTGTAAAAGCACCCCATCAATTATATGAAGAGCAGCAGTAATCAAATGGACTTTACATTATATCAACTATTGTTCAAAGAATCCCCAACACCAAAGGCTGCACAGGATGCAACATTAACAATTTAATCCCTGAAATGGTTGCAGTATGTACTTCATTAGAAAAATTACACTCAGGGAAATTAGATGAAAACGTACTTTTGATCTTATTTTTATTCTTACTGGTCTTACTTTCATAAATGTTAAAAAAAAATGTCTTTATAGTAAACTTTCTATTTATCTTATGCTACTTAAAGCTACTATTTAGTCTAACAGGCTTACACAGTGCATCTGAAAAGTAATGAGACAGAAATTTTAAAAAGAAAAGCAAAAGCTCAGAAAAACAATTTAATATGAAAATCATTCAAAATGGTCCCCATGGAACCCTATACGCTTATTTCACCTCTGAAAGCATCCTTGAAAGTCCTCTGAAGTTATATTCTTAAGATGATCAGTCACATTACTTTGGAAGTTTTGGATGGCATGAAATCGTCTCCTTCCACCTTTATTTTTAACTTTGGGAAGAGATCAAAGTCACCCACAGCCAGATCTTACGAATGCAGCAGGTCTGATTTCAGTAACAACTTTTTGTGAAAGAAATCTTCAAACAATTAATATGGCATGAACAGGTGCATTGCTGTGCAACAAAAACAAATTCTTGTTCCCATGAAGTCTGGTCTCACCAGTAAAATGCTTTGCAATAGTAACTACATCAGTTCTAAATAAAATCTGGCATTTACAGTTCTTCCTTCGGGAAAAAATTCCTGTGTAAGCATCTCTAGCTGTATTCTTATGAATGTAACAAAGGTCTCATTACTTTTCATATACACAGTGTAAATGGCTGAAGTCTACTGATAACAGATTCAAAGTCTGTTCAGAAAAGAAGTTCTTCTATTCAGCCTAAGGCAAAGGTACTCACTTGGTCAAACCTTGCAAACTTGCTGATGAAATCGATAAACGTTTTCAGTCAGTATATAACAATCCTTAACCAAATGTTTTCCTCACCCTTCTGTCATCTTCTGAATTTTCATCTTTAGCACAAATTTCTGATTTGGATGCTTTTAAAACTCTTAAGTGCCTGAAACCATCTATATCTGTTGCAG